GATGAGTGAAGTCTTTTATGAATTAAGAGGATCCCTCCCCAAGGCATCACTGGCCTCCCATTTACTACTTCACTGAAGAGGAACACTACAGACCACCAGGCTTATTAGAGTCAATCAAGAGCAAGGCTTTGGAAATTAGAAACTTGACTAGCAGGTCGATGCTGACACGTACCATTCTCAACCCTTACATTACTTAGCTCCCCTTAGTAGAAAGAACTCTTAAGTTTGCTTTACCCAGGAAAGAAAGGCAACCTCCCTGTTGAAATCTTCGAAGAGATGCTGTTGGATCCTTTAAACTATTCCTGAAATAGTGGTGCATTGTCCTAGGGGAATGGAGGCAGGCTGAGATGAGATTTAATGTCCAAAGAACCTGAGAATAGATGCTACCATTTCTACACTTCAATCCCCAATGAGGAGAAAGTGGTCAGCTGGGAAGGTAGTGGCTGAGCAAAAGGGGAGCAGAAACTGGAATGGGGTGGGAGAAGGAGTAAAGACAGAGAAAAGGAGAAGGTACACGGAAAGGACCATGGGCACAGGAAACAGACCAGGGCTCCCATCCCATTGCCCAGTCACCAAACGCGGAAATTTGAGTAAGATGCTTAGAACTTCAAGTCTCAACTTGGTCGTCTTTAAAGAAAGCAATTACCCATTGATACTAGTGACTATTATTAGGTCTTTCAAGCTGTCTGTGCTCAGAAACTCCAGGAACAGTACAGATGAAGAGGACAGTATCACCATATCTGAAAGTGGCTGCTAAAAGGAAATGGCCCCACTGGAATTAACAGGAGAGGCTCGGGGTTACTTTAAATGACAATGTCAAAAGAACTGACTTTATTCAATATAAGTAAACTCAAAACATAAACATGTAACCAGTATTGACACTGTGAATTACTAACTCTAACTCTGCTCTGAGGGTCCTTGGCACTATTTGAGTTGTGGAGCTCTTCAGTGTTTGTTTCTATACCTTAACCTGTTCCCAGATTCAGTCCCCCAGGGGTAAAGTGAAAATTAAAGGGAAGACAGAGTGATGAAAAAAATTTTTAAAAAGATACCAAAGTATAAAGATAGGCACGGAACACCTGGGTGGCTCGGTCAGTTAAGCGTCCGACTTCGGCTCAGGTCAGGATCTCACGGCTTGTGGGTTCCAGCCCTGCGTCAGACTCTGTGCTAACAGCTCAGAGAATGGAGCCTGCCTCGGATTCTGTATCTCCCTTTCTCTCTGCCCCTCACCTGTTTCCTCGCTTGCTCGCTCTCTCAAAAATAAATAAAACATTAAAAAATATTTTTTAAGATAGGCAAAGTGATGCTAAAAATCCAAATTAAAACTAGACCAGAATATTTACATATTTTATTAAATCTTTACAATCAGTAATTATAATCAAATACACAATTATATACAAGGATTATATACATTTTGCCCAGACTTTTACATCACAGTACATAGTTTCCCTTAGAAATATTGTATACATTTATCACCAAACAATAAAATCCAACAACAGTAGTGTTACAGCACCTGTTAGTACAGACATCTTTTTCATAAATTACATCATAAGAAAATATACGGCTGTAAATTGGGCTTTTAAAAATGTCTTTTATAAAATCTGAACATACAATATTTCATTCACAGAATGTTTTTTTTTTTTTTCTATGTTCTGACTGAAGCCTTGTGCATAAAACGACCGGTTGGAATATTTACTAAATCAGCCCCCCCCACCTCCAAAATTATAAGCACGATTTGAATTACTTATGCTGAGCTTCCTTTATAATGAATCTGACATGGGGTCTGGTGAGAGAACAAATGCTGGTTTTATTGTAAAAAGGGCTATGATGATAATTTGAATTTTTAAAAATTTCTCAAAAGCATAAGCATATTAGAAACTAAAACCAGAGAGTGCACAATTTATCATTTTACTAATACTGTGAAGAAAAAGGGAAAAGTATAATGTCAAAAAATAATTTGTTCTTGAAACAACTGTATTCTTGTTGGAAGCCTATTAAATGTTAAAAAAAAAAAAACAAAAAACCTGCCAACAAAATATCCCATCCTAAACATATCCAGTAAATTACAATTCTTTCATACCTAAAACTTTATGGGAAAATTATTGCAAATTAGGGTATTATCATTTCAATGGACTTTCATAAGCAGAAAAACTATAGCTATTTTTAGTAGGTAAACAAGTTAAGTTTTAAAACTTGAAAATACCTGAATTAAACACTTGCTCTAATATCTAACTTTTCACTTTCAGATAAATTCCTTACTTGATTCCAGGTTTGTAAACATTGTATAAATCTTTCTTATTCAAACAATTTTATGGCTGTGGCGATCACTTCATCTCTATTTCTATGCAGTCAACATTTAACTGAGGTAGACCAGATGTTTCTAAAATTCAGGGTCTCATAGAATCCCCCGAATATTTAGGAAGTAAATAAAACGTCTATCAAAGGTATTTAAAAAACAAAACATTAAAAAAAAACAAAAACCTAATGCTGTTGGAATTTTTTAATGAACTCAAAAACAACTTCATGGCAGTACATTGAATAATAATAATAATAATAATGAATAATGATAATGCTGGGAGTTTTGAAACTGAACATTATACCTTCTTAACTAGGGAAAAATCAAATATGATTCTTTCTGGGTATAAAGTATAATTTCTTAAATTTTTTTCTTTTCTTTTTTTTTTTTAAGGATTCACTTTTCTAAAAAAGTGAACAATTTGCTTCTAGACATCAATGAGTGGCAACAACTCCCCCTAATGGCCAAAGGAAGGGCGAGTAAGCTGGTTCTCGTTACCATGAGATCTTTGTGGGGAAAAAAATTTTTTTACTTGTTTTGCTAACTTAGAAAGTTGGATTTAGACAACAATGACTCTGAGCTACAAATACAAAATCAAACCAATGTATATAAGGCTTCTGTAATCAGAGTCTTAGAGGAACATCTGCTCCTTTTCTCAAAGCCCCAGTCCTACAAATCAAGGCAAGTCAAATAATTAAGCTTCAGCTATTTTGGCAGCTTTGCAATTAAGAGGAACAAAGCACTATGTCTATCCTTCCATATACTGTATGTATTATAGTTCTATCTTCTTACACCAAATTTCACATGCAGAAAGACTAAAATATCCACTTTAGTGTCAGGTTTAATTAAGGGCCAATAATGGTCTTATAACTACTCTTCCCCACCCCTCTCCCCCCCAAAAGTGTCTTCTCTATTAGTTTTATTACTCATTGACCCAGTTACATTTAGCCGGAATTTTTGAAAGCAGCTATTCATCCCCTTACAAAAGAATATGACTACCTGGGATCTAAGACACACTGTACATGAATATACATAACTACAGTACAGCACTGCTGTTCTCTTAACAGCTCCATATACAGTTTAAGTTCATTAGTACCTCAAAACTGTTTTCAGAAAAGACTATTAGGTCATGTCATGGTAAAGAGAAAGAAAAGTAAGTCTCACAAATACTCCTTTAGACTGATTTAGGTAAGTTTTAAAAAATAAATAAAATGAATAAAACCATGATTTCAACTACAGGGCTGTCTATAGGATATCAACAACAATTTTTAAAAACTTAAATGTGGCTAGCACCAGACTGCCACCAAAAAAAAAAAAAAAAAAAAAAAAAAAAAAAAAAAAAAAAAAAAAAAAAAAAAAAAAAAAAAAAAAAAAAAAGAAAGAAAAGAAAAGAAAAAAGAAAAGAGAAAAGAAAAGAAAAAGAAATTCTCATTAAGCTATATGGCTATTTGTTAGTTGCTACTGTGTAAGTTTTTTACACAGGTTACCATAGACTAATTTTCAAGTCCATATCAGAAGGAATATTTGTTAAAACAAAACAAAAATGAAACATCTTAAAAACCATGATTCAACAGAAAATGTGACAGATTCCTTAGGTGCAACTTTAGAAACCATAGTTTCAAAGAAGAAAAATAGTAGTTTCCCTAGGATTTTCAGATTACTACCACAGTTTTATTATGGCTCCCTAAGATAGAAAAATGGAACAAAATGTACTCAGCTACTGGCGATGTGGCCCTTGTGGCTCAAATTGCATACTAAACATGGGATGGAGTAAGGCTGATGGCTAGAGGTAATCACCTCTAAGAGCGATGAACTGGAAAAGATTTATAATTTGCCCTACAAGGACAGAACTTTAAGTGCCATTTCAGGTCAGTCACAGCTTTCCCTATGGAAGGCCCAATGGCAAGTTCATTATCACAACATTACAGTTTCCCCCTTGTTCCATTTTTCAGAAGCATTAAGTAACCAATTTCCACAATATATTATATGACCTTTTATCCTGGTCCCAACGATTAGCCTTTATGCAGAGAACTCACTGAGAAAGTACACTGGCTTCACCTTTGGTTTAAATGAAAAGGACATTGTGAGGAGAGAAAAAAAATCAAGTCCTCTTGATCATTTGTTACACAATGAAGCAAGTGAAAGTGATGAGCAAAGGCTGCTTTCACCATGAACGCATCTGCTTCACAATCACTTAGGTCACTCTGAGTGTTTTTGTGAAGGCAACATAACCAGAATGCCCGCAGTACTCATCTGTATTTTCCCCCAAAGAGTCTCTAACCCCAAAACCAAGAAAGCCGAACTTCCTTTAATTAGAAAGCTCTACAAATTCCTATTCTCCTCTCCACTATTAACCGAATTTGTTTCTTGTCTATCTGACAAGACTGCAGAAATCTGGTTCCTAGGAACGCCAGCAATCTTTTCCTGGCCTGAGGTGCTGCAGGGTGGCACGCGATGCTGTCATGGGGTCAGGGTGGGGAGAGGGGGAGGGTTGGGAGTTTCCATTTTTGATGGGACGGTTTTAAGCAAGGTCAGTTCTAACACGGCATGCTCCAGATTCCTATGTTAACTATCTCAGTCAGAACGTGGTTGCTCATCACCATACTTAAAGACTCCCATTAGAGAGCCTGCTTAGTATTCGGGTGTCTGTTAACCACAGTTTGGCTTTTCTTTTTAAATACCTACCACCAGATTCTTTAGTGAGTCATAGTTCATCTTTCTCCATCATTTCAAATGCTTCTATATCTTCATTCCAGTCTGCTAATATGGAGTCTATAGGCTGGACCTTTTTACCCCAGCTAACATTAGGATTGGAATCTTCCTCAGTTTCTGATTGTTCTTGAAGCTGGTTATCTAAATCTGTACATTCACCATCAAGACTTGTAGTCTCGTGGTTTTCCATGGGGTTAGAAATCTGTTCAGAAGGAGAAACACTTGCAGCATTGTCCATATCTGCTGGAGATAATGATTCTGGTTGAGAGTTTAGAGAACTTTCCTCAGGAGACTCTTGATCAACCAAATCAACCTCCTGAGAACTTGATGTAATCTGTTCAGCACTCTGAGAATCATTTTCAGAGGATGGTTGTTCTTCATTTTCCATTTCAGGATCTGTACATGAAAGAAACAAGCTTCATGCTACTTTCCTACTCAAAATATTTACTATCACACTTTTAACAGCCTACTGGTTGTTGCAATAAAATGAAGAAATAAAAAAGAAAGAAAAACATGTTAATGCAGAGCAGTGAACATTAACACCGAAGAGTAAAAGACTGCCTTTAATCATGTAATCACATGTTTTCTGTATATTCATTTTGCAAAATGTGCCATTACAAAATAAACATTCTTCCAAACTGAAAAGAGTGACTCTAGTAACTGACAAGTCTTCAATGGGGATTAGTAAATATGCCAACGAATACACTAAACAATACTATTATTTAGGTGTACATAGATTTGCATTGTAGGTCTAAAATTTATTAAATATCTCAATTCAGGAAAGCTTGCACATTAGAACATATGAAATAGAGTAAATTTTAAACAGCACTTATCATAACTATATTTTAAGATAATATTCTTTCGAAAAGTGAAATTCCCATGCAGTAAGCCATGACAATGCCAATAATACAAAATTTTGGATGATTTGAGGGTACTAATGTGGTTAAATATTTTCATAAAGACACGAACTAAGATTATTTACAAAACTTGTATTTCATTATTGTAAGTCTATGAATTATAAGACAATTTTAAAATCCACTGGAAGGCTAAGAGTAGGTTAAACCTCTTGTAATGAACATACAATGAAGCCACTAGAAGCATCCTATTTGGGGTTCCTACAAGAAAGTGCTTCCACAGCACTGATGCCCCATGCTGCCTCATCCTCAGTCTCTGTGCTTAGCCAGCAAGCAAGTCCTGAGGGTCCTCTGTGTGATGGGCACTGTGCAAGGTACTGGGGGTAAAACGAGGCAAAAACAGACACCAGATTTGCCCTTATGGATCTTTTAGTCCAGGTGGGGAAAACATTTCCAAATAATCACACAAAATAAATGGAAAACTCTAACTGTGACATGTTTTATGTTGCTAGGAAAGGTTACAGGGAATAGGAAAGAATAGAGTTGAGGGTTTCCTTTGGAAACTGACACTTGAGCTCAGATTTAAAAGTAGAGTTAATCCATCAAAGAAGGAAGGGAAGATGGACATATTATAAAACCAGAAAAACTAAAGGAAATACAGGTATGCAGGAAGGTACAGACAAGTGTGTTTATGCGTACTCTACGTAGGATTATCTGACTAGGGAAGTTTAAGTTCTTGG